CTACAAACCCGAATAGATAAACACAAACGAAAAAAAAGTTTGCGAAATGTAAGGGGTTTTTTTAAAAAATAAAATAAAAGAGATTAGCATTGAACATAAATGATAAAACCCAATAATAACTCTATTTTCTATTTGATAATAACTCCGACCCCCATACACACACACACACACCATCCCCTCTGTCCAATACGACCAGCTTCAACTAAACCACACATCTCATTACAAGCATAGCTGAGCGACCCTGATCACCATTAAATCATGGCTATTCTCGTCGTCGATAACCCCTAACCACAAATCTCATGCGACCCAGATCAACTAAATCGCACACCTCATTACAATTACAACCAACACTCCTTCTTCTTTCTCCTGCTTGTCGATTCCAAGTGCAGAAACGGTAACCAAATCATCTGAATCCTTTATTATCATATAAATTCTATTTCAATCAATCATCATACCAAATCACTTGAATCCATCAAAATCACAGAAAATTTATTGATTTAAACAGATTGCTGATTTTTCATCAGTGTGAATCATTTCCATAGTAGTAGCAGAGCGGTCGAAGTGTGTTTGAAGTGGATTGGTCGAAGTGTGCATCACTGTTGAAGTGGATTTCTGTTAAAAGGTATGCAATGGTTTCTTTCCTCCTGTTTTTTTACTATCGACTTCCAACACTCCTTGTAGGTTCATTTAAAACTGCTTGTTTAAAAATGTGATTTTAATACATACCAAGTGTTTGATGAAATGTCTGAATGACTTTTTCTTTATTCAAATTTAATGCCACATTAGCTGTATGGTTTGTTCATAACGCTGTGTTTAGAATTTGTAGAGTATTAGAAACAAAGAATATTTAAAAGAGATAAGTACCCATCACCAAATACTTGTCAATTCTGAGTTTCTGACCCAAAAAGTGTACACACCCAATACAATATGAGACTAGTTATGGTTCCCAGGCAATTACACTTTCAGTTGAACTAAAAACTTTCCTTGTTATTATTGCAAGTTAATCTTCTTATGATGTCTTTTCAAAAATAAATGGTTCAACATTAAATATCATGTCTTTGAAAAAAAGTTTGATGCCCATCAATATTGTGGAGAACCTTTATGTTAGTTCGTTTACAGTAACAATTTTCATAAATTGAACAACTTGCAATATTTTCATGATCTATAGAGAATCCATGATACTACAGGTGCCATTTGTTGAGTATGAATCCACAGAAATGTTGAGTGTGAATCCACAGAAATGTTGAGTGTGAATCCACAGAAAAGCTGGTCAAAAATGGCAGGAACAATGTGAAGTTGTGAAGCCACAATTGTTGAATGAAGACCCAGTTGTGTTTTTTGACTACTTCTGATTTCCATCTCTATATAAGAGATTATTCTGTATTTGTAAAACTTGTATCTAGTGTAACACAGAAAGAGTGCAGATTAGCACCAAGAAGTGTAAATTCCTAGTTACCGGTGGACGTAGGTCAGAGAAGGACCGAACCACGTTAAATCCCTCATGTTCATCCTTGTGTTTTTGTTTTTCGTGAGCTGTGTATGTGTTTAGAGTCGTGTGTTAAGTGTCTCGATCCTAACAAGTGGTATCAGAGCAAGGTTGTAGCTCCAGAAGGTGATTTTAAGTTTTTGGTCGAAATTTTTTTTCGTCAAAAACGATTTTGGTGTATACCGTTGGAAAGGTCTCGTTCCGAAGATTCCGAAAATATTTTTTTCTGAATTTTTTGACCACCGGAAGACGTCCAAATCGCCGGTCAAAGGTTTGCCGGAATAGTGACCGAAAAAACCAGTTCCGCCGGAGAAGACGATACTGTAGCGCAACGTCAGCAGACACTGTAGCACGCCGTCAGCGGTGACGTCAGCAGACACTGTAGCAGATTTGAAAAATTGCAGTTTAGCCCCTGAACTTTCAGAAAATTGCAGTTTAGCCCCTGAACTTTTAGAAAATTGCAGTTTAGCCCCTAATCTTTCAGAAAATGGCAGAAATCAGTAAGCTTCAGATTGAGAAGTTTGATGGGAAAGATTTTGGTTGGTGGAAGATGCAAATTGAAGATTTGCTCGTACAGAAAGACTTGGACGTAGTTTTAGGTGAAAAACCGGAGGCGATCACACAAGCAAACTGGGAGACTTTGGATAAGAAGGCCAAGGCATTTATTAGACTGACTTTGTCAAAGGATGTTGCCTTCAACATTTTGAAGGAGACATCGGCAAAGGGAATCATGGAGGCATTGTCTAATATGTACGAGAAGCCGTCGGCAACAAATAAAGTCTTCCTGATTCGGGAACTAGTCAACACGAGGATGAGGGAAGGAAGTTCAGTTACAGTACACATCAACAATTTGAACTCGATTTTATCCAGACTTAGTTCAGTGGGAATAAAATTTGAGGACGAAGTTCAAGCTTTACTACTGTTATCATCATTACCTGACAGTTGGTCTGCAACAGTTACAGCCGTTACTAGTTCCACGGGATCGAAAGGACTCACTTTTGAGGGAATTCGGGATTTAATTCTAGGCGAAGACGTCAGACGAAGAAATTTCGGGGAATCATCAAGTGAACAATTGAATGCGGTCAGAGGTAGAAGAAATAACAGAGGTAGTGGGAGCGGGAACAGGAGAAAGAGTCAGTCGAGGACTCGAAATGATGTGACTTGTTAGAACTGTAAAGAAGTTGGACATTTCAGGAATCAATGTCCAAAAGACAAGAAAGAAGTTAACGTTGCAGTAGACCATTCAGATGATGATGTTTTGATCTGTAGTGTGGAGAGCAATGTGGATTCCTGGGTTATGGATTCGGGTGCTTCATTTCACGCTACCCACAGCCGTGAAGCATTGCGGAATCTGAAAGAAGGGGATTTTTGTAAGGTAAGACTGGCGAACGATGAGGTTCTTGATGTGACGAGCATAGGTGACTTAGATCTGAAGACTCGAGTCGGTCCATGGACTTTGAAGGATGTCCGGGTAATTCCAAGTCTGAAGAAACAGTTGATTTCTGTTGGGCAGTTGGATGAACAGGGACACGAGGTTAAGTTCAGGAATGGGCAGTGGAAGGTTGTCAAAGGAAATCTTGTGATAGCTCGTGGACATAAGAGGGGTTCATTATATATGGTCAGTTTACCATCTGAGGGAGTAACCGTCCCAGTTCAGAAGAAAAACAAAATCCGGTTCATAGAGTCTCGTGGACAGAAGAAGGTTTGCTTTGCAGATGGCAAACCCAGAGTCACAGGTCAGATTCAGGTTGAACGTGTTTGGAACGGTTCAGAAAAACCAGTCAAGGGCATTCATAGCAGTGGGAGCATGGGCTTTGTTTCAGCTAGAATACCCAGAACATAGTGGGTTAAGAGAACCAGTATTCCATCTGTAAAAGTCTCTCCAGATTATCTGCTTCACATGGAGAGTGTCGTTTGTTCTCAGGATGTTCCAGGATCGGGCAGTTCATTTCAGTGGGAGCCGGTGGAGACAGAGAACAGGTCAGTGGCAGACTTAGCCATGACTGATGCGTTGGAGCTAACGAAAGCTTCAACTGGCCTTCAGGTTAATTGAATAGAAGGCCAGGGTAACTAGGAAGGAGTTAAGATCAAATACAGATGCACAGTTGAAGCACAGGTGAAGATTGTTCCGTGGCTTCAAGTGGGAGATTGTTGAGTATGAATCCACAGAAATGTTGAGTGTGAATCCACAGAAATGTTGAGTGTGAATCCACAGAAAAACTGGTCAAAAATGGCAGGAACAATGTGAAGTTGTGAAGCCACAATTGTTGAATGAAGACCCAGTTGTGTTTTTTGACTACTTCTGATTCCCATCTCTATATAAGAGATTATTCTGTATTTGTAAAACTTGTATCTAGTGTAACACAGAAAGAGTGCAGATTAGCACCAAGAAATGTAAATTCCTAGTTACCGGTGGACGTAGGTCAGAGAAGGACCGAACCACGTTAAATCCCTCATGTTCATCCTTGTGTTCTTGTTTTTCGTGAGTTGTGTATGTGTTTAGAGTCGTGTGTTAAGTGTCTCGATCCTAACACCATTTTGGTTCTTGCAAAACACATCGAAGAATTATTGAGATGAAGAAGCTTTTTATATAACATTAATTGATTCTATGTATAAAAAAGAAATCATGTTTGACCTCTGACAAAGAGAGTAAGCAGAGAGGAAAGGTACCCTGTTTGTGTTTCAAATGATACATATTCCATTCCATTTAACAAGCCAATTGTGTGTAAACAAATTTAAATTACTATAAGTTAGAGGATTGAAAAAGGGACAGGAACAACCTCCACAATTATCTAAAATATGTGACGTGTAATCTGCATATTCCATACTTGTGAATTGAGAAAAAAACATTATGAATATCGTTGTGGAGGTCCTCTTTTATGTGACATCATATTTATTATACTCATAGGTTATGCCATATGATGTTCAAATGAAATGAAGGAAGATGAGACATCAAATAGTAAGAAGTTTCAAGTCCAGTCTTTCAAAGTGAAGTGAAATGAGTACTAATAATTAAGATCATCTAACTTTTATTTGAATTAATTAGTAAGTTATGGTGTGTAAATGTTTCAGGCTGTTAAAAGTTACCTTTGATATTAAATACTTGTTTTTATATATGAAGGAGTTAGGTGGTGCATAGCATCAAATCATTGCCAACCCTCTTGAATTTGAGTTTTATGGTATGGAGTCGATGGCCAAAGTGTAAAAATTCACCAAATGGCACCTGTACAAGTGTACCCATACAAGTAGTTGATTTAGTTCAATATGTAATTGATAGGAATCTTGTATTAAGAGTTAAGATGAATTTCAATTGGTATGTATTCGTATTTTCTATTTGACGGTAATTATAGAAAATAATTTATTACATATAATTAATTTACAAATGTTATTTTTGCTACTTTTTATATTTACTGGAAATCCAAGTGATGGAAAAACTTGTTAAATTTCAGTTGATGAGCAACAGATTTGTCCTTGACTAATACTATATTTTCCAGACGTGAAGCTTCTAAAAGGATATCAATCTTCACTGACTTATTTTTTTATCTATTACATAATGATTTAAGAAAACATATGAGAAGTTTCATAACAAAAAGGCATTCAAATAAATACATATTATCAGGATGCATATAGGGAACATGACAAAAGCAAATAACATTCAAAGTACACTAATATCAAGCCTTCATCAACAGATTTGAAACTTGGCGCATTGTTGGTCTTTCTTTTGGATTGGAGTTCAAACATGCTCTTGAGAGATTCAGTACCATATTAACTTTTTTCTCAATTTGTGGTGAAGGCAGTGGAATCCGACTATCTCCAACATTTGCTAACACCAGATACTCCGCACACAATGTTGGTAATTCACCAGGATGCTTTCCCATGATCACTTCTAGTGCCACGATCCCAAAGCTATACACATCGCATTTCTCCGTCACCACCATCGTATAAGCAAGCTCTACATCCAAAAATACGTGAGATAAAAACAAAAAATGTTATATCAACCTCACAAGATTCTAAAATATAGATACACATACATATACATATACTTATTCATATATATCATGAAACTTAAGAAAATGTAGAACTAACATCACAAAATTACATTACCTGGTGCGATATAGCCATGTGTTCCTTCGATTGTGGTCCAGTTGGATGAGTCTAGCTTCAAAAGCTTGGATGTGCCAAAATCAGAAATGTGTGCCTCATAATCAGAATCAAGAAGGATGTTGGCAACGGAAATGTCTCTATGAATTATAGGAGGTGAGCAATCGTGATGCATATAAGCCAAACCATTAGCTACAGCCTTTACAATATTTACCCTTTTCAACCAATCCAGTTCTTTTGCTAAGTCATCGATTCTTAAGATTGATCCAAGGCTTCCCTTTTCAAGGTATTCATAAATCAAAAATGAGTGGCGGGCATGTGAGCAATATCCATAGAGTTTCACTATGTTTCGATGCCTTATGTTCGTTAATGTTCGTACCTCATTAAGGAATCCATTTTGATCAACATTCTCAGATGATGAGTGAAGTTTCTTGACAGCTACCACATTGTTAGGTTGTAGCTGGGCTTTGTACACAGTCCCATATCCTCCGGTCCCAACAGCATATGCTTCATCAAAATTATCTGTTGCTTTCAAGATGTCATCATATGCTACTCCTCCATCAAAACTTGTTATGGAGAAATAATCACCACCTTCTTTGTCAAATGGTTTCTGTTGAGAATCTCTCTTTTGTTTTCGATAAGCAATTAGGCCACATATAAAAAAAACCAAGTGAAATTGCCCCGATAAGAGGGAGCATAATTACAAGAATGATCCGATGATGAAAGAGATCATTTTTCTTCTTCGGGATTTGACTTGCACATGATTTTAGTCCTGTAAAATTTCCACACAAACCTGGATTGCCTTGTAAAGATGCGTTCAGAAAGTTAGAGCAAAGAGGAACTGGACCTGTGAGCTCATTGTCGGACAGGTCGATGTCAATCCCACTGGGCAAACTTGTAAAAGCGTTAGGAATGGAACCAGACAGTATATTGTGAGAAAGATTCAACTTTTGTAGATTTTTCAAACTTTGAACTTCAGATGGTATCTCTTGTGTGAGCAAATTCTGAGATAAATCAAATTCTGTAAGTTGAACTAATTTACCAATCTCAGATGGAATTTTCTCACCGAGCATGTTATTACTAAGATTCAAGTAGTGGATATGCTTCCATTGACTAATACTTCTTGGTATTGACCCATTCAGTCTATTTGTAGATAGATCGAGTACTTCAATGAGTTCACAATATCCGAGCTCTGTAGGTATAATACCTGAAAGATGGTTATTAGCCAAAGACAAATTCAACATACTTTTCATCTTCCCAAACTCCTTTGGGATTTCACCTACCAAATGATTGGAAGAAAGATCAAGTCTTTGTAGTTGAGTTGAATTTCCAAACTCTGGTGGTATGCTACCACTGATGTTGTTATAGGCCATCACTAAGGCTGTCAAATTCTTGCATTTACTCCACTTTTGAGAAAGCTGCCCGTGAAAATTATTGTGACTGATATCAAGGTACTCTAAGCGTGGATAGATACCAAAGCTGCTGGATATATCTCCAATGAATTGATTTCGATCAAAACGAGCCCTAATTAAGCTAGAACAATTCCGTAAGCCTCTTGAAATAGGCCCAGTGAGTTGATTACCATCTACTGTGAAAATTTGAAGCTTTCCTCCATGGCACAAATCTTCGGGCAAATGACCAGATAATTGATTATCGAACATTTGTAGGTGAAACAATTCTAGACTTCCCAATCCTTGTGGAATCGAACCAGATAAGATGTTATCACCAAGGTAAAGATATTGTAGATTGCTCAGGTTTGCTAGTGATGAAGGAATAAAACCACTAAGTTGATTCTGAATCGCCTCAATACCATAGAGAGACTTCAAATTCCCGAGATCACTAGGAATGTGACCAGAGAATTTATTCTCATTGAGGTACATATATTGTAGGTTGCTCAGATTAGCTAGTGATGAAGGAATAAAACCACCAAGTTGATTTTGGCTCACGTGAAGATGAATGAGAGACTTCAAGTCCCCAATGTTAGTAGGAATTTGACCTGAGAATTTATTCTCATTGAGATACATATATTGTAGGTTGCTCAGATTGGCAAGTGATGAAGGAATAGAACCACTAAAGTGATTGTTCGTCATCACAAGATCAGTGAGAGACTTCAAGTCCCCAATATTAGTAGGAATTTGACCTGAGAATTTATTCTCATTGAGATACATATATTGTAGGTTGCTCAGATTGGCAAGTGATGAAGGAATAGAACCACTAAAGTGATTGTTGATCATCACAAGATAAGTGAGAGACTTCAAATTCCCAAGATTAGGTGGTATACGACCACATAAACTATTATTATGGAGATATAGATAAGCCAAGTTTGTCAAATTTCCCAATGTTGGAGGTAATTCTCCTTGAAGAAGATTATTGGCCAATCCTAGTTCATAGAGAGATGTTAATCGATCGATCTCTTGTGGTATTGAACCAGTCAGGTTATTTAAAGACAGCTCGAGGTACTCAAGACTGGCTAGCATCCCAAGTTCAGGTGGGATTACTCCAGAAAACTTATTTAATGATAAATCAAGATATACAAGTTTGGTCAGGAGTCGGATTTCTGATGGGATGGGGCCAGAGAAGTTGTTGTCATAGAGATCAAAATGCGTAAGATTGTGTAGCAAATAGAATGGAAATTGGTGGAGTGTACCTTCTAAGCCAAATGAACTGATGTTCAACCTGTGAATGCTCCCATCAGCATTGCAAACTACTCCAAACCAAGAAGTGCATGGAACTAATGCACTGGAATTCAAAGGGAGGGAAATCCATGAAGAGAGAAACGAATTGTTTTGGATTTCAAGGCTTGCTTTCCATTTAAGAATACCATTGGCTTCCTCCAATGTAGCAGAACCAAAATTTTGTATGGGGGATGGTGTGATGATTAGTAGAGCTAACGAGAAAAATAAGAAGTTTGAAGAAGACATTATTTGCTTTGCCAAGTTGTTTTATAAAAAAGATGGTTTGCGTTTCCTAATTTATACTTGGGCTATACCTTTTTCTCTTGTTTTTTATTTTCACATACTGAAGGAAATTTGCACAATGTCATATTTTTCCACAAGGAGTGTTTACATTAGCAGTTAGTGTCATATTTTTCCACAAAGGAGTGTATTACACTTTAAATTGTATCTGTCATGACATTAATCTTTTTTCTTATTACATTAAAATTCATTGTAACCCAGAATTTAGCAAGGCGCTCTGATTACAAAAGACAACTTGTTGAATTAAACGTCACTCTTGGATTTAAAAGTGTAATAATATAACTTAACTTGATTATTTAGACATATTTATTTTTGTAATCTGATTAATGCTAACAGAAGTTACACTCAAACTGTGTTTTACTTCATAATCAACTCTGTAACTGATGACTATTTCAAAATTGTGGATTTTGGATCAAAGACATGGAGATCAAGTTTTCCTGGTTTTGCATTTAGTGGAAGGCAGTATGATTTTGCGAAATTATCCACGTGACCATATAAGATTATTCGATTTTTAGACATATTTATCTTTGTTTTCTGGTTAAATTTACAAAAAATATGCCTGTCGAATAGATTGGCCGAAAACAAACTTGTTTCTATTATTGTTGTTTCAATTTGAACACCTTACTAATTTTTAAAAGAGAAAACTGCAAAAATGGACCATGTGGTTTGTTGCTTCCTTTGGATGGAGTTCAAAATGTTGCCAACTTGCAAGTATAGTCCTTTTAACAAAGTTTCTTTATAGATTAGGTCCTTGTGTTTTAACACCGTTAATTTATTTTTGTTAAGATAGTGTTAAGTTACCATCTTACCACTTTGTATATTTTCAATTAAATTTTAATTATTTATATAATTTTAGTTAGATAGACCCCACTTCCATCAAAATGCCCCTCCCCATCTTCGTTTACAACCCTGGTAGATCTAAAACCCCACCCTCTCTATTCATCTTCATTGAAAAACCTGTATGAGCTGTTCTAAAAGTTGCCTTGTTTCTTAAACTTCACTAATAATCATACTTAGATTCTTGACTTCCATGGAAATGGAAAAACAGAGTACATTGAGATATTGAAAGAGATATGTCTCTGAGCATAGAATTGAACGCCTTCTGCAATTCTCGAAATTCCATGGAGATGAAGAAAAACAGAGCACTGAAACCGTTTAATTTTATTTCTTTTACGTAATTATGACCGACTTACCCGAACTGGGCTCGAGAGCCTGCAGTAATAAAAAGATTTTTAAGCCCAAAATGAATGAGTCGACATTAACACCATCAAAAGATCATAAATTACAGCATGATGAAAATAGATATCAATTACAACAACCAAAAGAAATTCAATCGGATTAAAAAACAGAGTAAAAGAGTAACTAAAAGAAAAATGAAGAATTGCAAATATAACTAAAGAAAGATCCTTGAAACTGATAGTGGGCGATGCCATGTTAAAGATGGTAAAGCTGTTCTTGCTTTAGTTATATTTGCAATTCTAGGGGATGTGAGATGGGTGATTTTTCTAATAGTGTTATAATAGAAGTATTAAATGATAAGATAAACAAAAAAAATTAATAGTGAAATATAACAGGGGCATAATTGACATTTAACATATCTTAACTGAATAAATTTCAAGGAGTTAAAGAGAAGGACCTAATCTACAACCAAACATTGTCAAAAAGGATTATATTTGCAAGCTATAAAAATATTAGAACTCCATCCAGAAACATCAACAAACCACAACAACCATTTTTACAGTTTTCTGTTTTTAAAATAGCAGAATTTGACTTGGTAAATCAAGAAGTTAAGATAGATTTAAATAGCCATTTTCTCCTGCTTTTTGTTTTCCTGTTTTCAAAAAAGGAAAATATGGGCCATGCCAATTTTTTCGACAAGGAGTGTGTAGACAAATCGACTACAATAAATAATCGATAACTTCAAGATCGAAGTATAAAACCCAAATATCACGATAGCGATTCAACGGAATATAAAACTATTTGAATAATCAACCAAGAATAAATCGAACGATAAAAAGAAAAAAACACGCGATATTTACGTGGAAACCCAAATCGGGAAAAACCACGGGCGGAGGAAACCGAGAACCAATTTACTATAATATTCAGTGTTTACAGAGATAGAGGAAAGAAAAACAAATATATCAAACATATATTTGTATGAATATGAGAGAAAGATGAAGATGTAATTTGAGGTGTGGTATATTTAATAAGCTTGGTTTCATTTCCTTTTATAGGCAAATGAATGTATGAATTCAATTGTCTATTACCATCCAAGCTTGACAAACATGCTACCATCCATTCTTGACAAACATGCTACCACCCATTCTTGACAAATTAAAACCACATGTGTAGAATGGTATTCTAGAAATCATCCAATGTTGAAGTTTGAAGGAAACTTCCACAATCTCCACCTTGACTTCAAATGAGACAGGATGAAAAAACTTTAACTTGCACAATGATCATGCAAAACAGTTTATCAACAGCTCATCATACTCCAAATCTCTATAAGAATCTGCAAACACCATATGAGAAAAAATTGATTTTGAAAAGTAAATATACTTCCTCCACCACGAGCCTATCAGGCTCAAATGCGATCTGAAACACCCACCAAATCCAAACATGCTTTGAATTTGGCTATTGGAAGACTTTTAGTGAACATATCAGCAGGATTATCATTGGTGCTGATCTTGTTTACTGTAATATCGCCTTTAGCAATAACATCTCTGATGAAGTGATAACGAACATCAATATGCTTCGTTCGATCATGGAACATTTGATCCTTCGTCAGAAATATTGCACTTTGATTGTCACAAAAAACAGTGTTAACAGATAACTTGTTTGAAAGCTCACCTATCAACCGTTTCAACCAGAGGGCTTCCTTCACTGCTTCCGTAGCAGCCATGTATTCGGCTTCAGTGGTGGATAACGCTACAGTAGATTGTAACTGCGCTTTCCAGCTAACTGCGCAATCACCCAAAGTAAACACGTACCCTGTAATCGATCGTCTTTTATCCAAGTCCTTTGCATAATCGGAATCCACATAACCAAGTACTCCATTATCGGTTTTTCCAAATCGCAGACATAAAGAGGAAGTACCTCGCAAGTAGCGAAAAATCCATTTAACAGCAACCCAATGCTCCTTTCCTGGGTTGTGATATTAGCTCGTTGGGATCATTTTATCAAGTAATTAATCATGTCTTCGGTAAAATACGATATTCCACTACTGGATCGTAACACCCGATTTCCGTTGTGGCAAGTAAAGATGATAGACATTCTCATTCAGATGGATTTACACAAGGCGCTCTTGGGTTTCAATATGATGCCCGATACATGGACCGAAGAAGAAAAGGAGATGAAAGATCTGAAGGCTTGATCCCAGATTCGTTTGCACTTGTCAAACGATGTTTTGCAAGATGTTCTAAAAGAAACGTCAGCGGCTTCTTTATGGCTAAAGTTGGAGCAACTGTTGATGACCAAGAGCTTACCAAACAAGTTGCATTTGAAGCAACGGTTGTTCAATCTCAAGATGATTGAAGGAGGCTCTTTAGCTGAACATATATCCACATTTAAAGAGTTAGTAAATAACTTAGAGAATATGGATGTTCAGTATGAAGATGAAGACTTGGCTATATTCTTACTATCGTCGTTGTCAGAATCCTATAGCCATTTTCGTGATACTATTATCTATAGCCGTGACACTCTAGTTTTAGATGAAGTCTATACAGCTTTGGATTCCAAAGAGAAGATGAAGCATATTACTGGTGGTGGTTCAAGTGATGCTAAAGCCAAAGGTTTGAATGCCAGAGGAAGAACAACAGAGAGAAGTAGAACTTCTCAATCTTCCAATAGAACCAGATCCAAGTCAAAAGACAAACGAAAGTTTTGCAACTATTGTCACAAGAAGGGACATGTGCTTGAAGAATGCTTCAAGTTGAAGAATAAAGAAAAAAAGAAGACGGTAGCAAATGGCAAACAAGCTAGCACTTCGGGTGAAGCCGATGTAGTTGAGGTTGAAGGTATTGGAGAACTTTTGACAGTTTATTCAGATAAACTGTATTCCACTGGTGATTGGATACTCGACTCTGGTTGTACTTTTCATATGTGTCACAACAAAAGTTGGTTTTACACATTTGAAAAGGTTAACCAGGGCTATGTGTTGATGGGTAACAATACTACATGTCCAGTTCTTGGACATGGTTCAGTCAGGATCCGTATGTTTGACGGAGTTATTCGAACCATGGGGGATGTTAGATATGTTCCTGACCTCAGAAGAAACTTGTTATCTCTCAGTTCCTTTGAAAAAAAGGGATACGAGTTTGCTGGTAAAGGTGGAGTTCTCAGGGTATTCAAAGACGGTTCCGACAAACTGAGAGCCAAACGAAAAACCTCATATCTTTACTTTCTTGACGGGCAAACAATTTCGAGTGATGCTGCTGTTGTTTCAAAGTCTCTTTCTGATCCAGATCAGTCCCGTCTTTGGCACCTTCGACTCGGCCATATGAGTTTTCAAGGCATGTTAGAATTGAGTCGAAGAGGTTTACTTGGTCAACAAAAGATTGTTGATTTGGATTTCTGTGAAGACTGTGTATATGGCAAGGCAAAACGAGTAAGGTTTGCAAGTGGTATCCATACAACGAAAGGACCACTTGATTATGTTCACTTGGATTTGTGGGGACCGAATCGAGTTGCTTCAAAAGGTGGAGCTATTTATATGCTCACTATTATTGATGATTTCTCCAGGAAGGTGTGGTCTTTCTTCTTAAAACATAAAGGAGACGTTTTCTCTACCTTCAGAAATTGGAAAGTTCAGGTTGAAAAGCAATCAGGTCTGGTGGTAAAGTATCTTCGTACGGATAATGGACTTGATTTTTGCTCAGAAGAGTTTAATGTCTATTGTTAAAAGGAAGGCATTACTCGACATCGCACAGTAGCCCATTCACCTCAAC